GTGATGGCTCCCGGGTGAGTCGGGGTGAGGGCGAGCGTCTCGGGTTGGGAGAGGGGCCAGGGCCGGAGCCAGGCACTAGGCAGGAGAGACTCTAGGGGCTGCGCTTGGGGAGAACTTTGCAGGATAAGACTCCACTGCACGGCAGCCACGATTTGTGGTTTTTCTTTAGAACTCGGCTGTGTCTCCTCTTCTGCAGTAGGTGCCTGTCCCTGAGACGCCTTGTTTGTAAGTTAGGAAAACGGGGGGCGACAGTGAGTATGGAACGAATCCGCGTGCTCCACGCTTGTCATCGCGCTATAAACTCCGGGGGGTGTGCACTTCAGATTCTCATAAACTTTGCGGAACGCGGTTGTAAAACCTGGTGCGGTTCTGCATCATAGTTCAGGAAGGAGGTGCAGCTGGGCGCAGGTGGTAGCACACCCGCCCAGGATTGGCTCAGCTGCGGGTTCTTAGTTTTGACCTTAAGGGACGGTTTCCTTTGTTGAGGTGTGTGACCCTGTCAGCACGCAGTTTGTGTGGTCTTGAGATCAGGTTGAAGTGGACACAGGTGTGTGCGCGCAGATGCCTCTTGATGGTTTTCATTGTCAAGAACAAAGGGGGCAGGTGAAATTTCCTGCCTCCTGCTGGAGTGGGTAGTGCACAGCTTCCCTATGGGGGCCACAGTGTACCCGCCACACCACCCCAGTCAGCTTTCTGTCCACTCCTGCCTTCCTCAGGTGGTGCTGCTCACTCTGGTCTCTTCCCCTCCCCCTGGGGCTGCACTTGACCCTCAGCTGCTGGGCTGTGCCCCCTCCGGAAGCTAATGATGAGGACAGGATGGGATAAGGCCATCCTTTATCCCATCCCAGGGAGTCTCCGCCTGCATCCACTCTCCTCCCTCCTTCAGCTCAGGTGCTTATGCCTGCCCCCTGAAAGCAGGGGGGGGCGGGGGGGTATGGATGTTGCCTCAGGATGGCACCCTCCACTGCAGCCGGCTGCCTGGCTTCCTTTAGAGCAGCGGTTCTCAACCTGTGGGTCGCGACCCTTTGGGGGTCGAATGACCCTTTCTCGGGGTCGTCTAAATACATCCTGCATATCAGATATTTACATGACGATTCATAACAGTAGCAACATTACAGTTATGAAGTAGCAACAAAAATAATTTTATGGTTGGGGGTCACCACAACATGAGGAGCTGTATTAAAGGGTCGCGGCATTAGGAAGGTTGAGAACCACTGCTGTAGAGGGAGGGGCTCACTGTTGTCTGTTTAATGTTGTCTGCTGTCATCACTGCTTTGAAGTCATCTCAACCTCTTGGGGCCTAATGAGCCAGTAAACCCACCAGTCTGTGCCTGATGGAAGCTAAGCTCAACACCAGTGAAGAGCCGTTCTCCGCGATGTTCTGCCCTCTGTGCAGCTATGGGTGTGGGGGGCTTTCACACAGAAGGGTCAGGCAGGGGTTGTCCAGGTGGAGTGAATCCTGTGCCAAGGGGACCTATAGCCGTGCTTGGGGGCACATCATTGGGTCACAGGCTGTGGAGTGGTATGGTGAGGTCCCAGGCATCTGCAGGGTGACAGGAAAGTGGCTTTTGTGTGGGCTACCCTTGGTCATAAGGGGACAAGTTAGAAGCTGGCTAGGGGGCAGGGCCGTCTAGGTGTGGGGGGAAGATGGGAGGGGACCTGAGGCTGCCGGCATGAGTCCTTTGGGAGCGGTCTGGGCCCTTCTCTCTCCTGTGGTGCTCTGCCGGAGGGTCTTTCTGAAAGGACACCGACAACTCTATCGATGAATCCAGGGGCCTGGGTCCGTGTGTTTGTGACCAGCAAGTACAGCGCATGTGTTTTGGGTGTAGTTTGGTGAGTCTTGACAGATGTCCCTTGGAAACAACCACTCAGTCAAGATAAGGACATCTTCCTCGTCCAGACATGTATTTTACCTCATCTGGTTCCTCTTGGGGGCATTTAACATTGACACTCTCTTTCTCTGAGACGGTACCTCCCTGATGTCTGTCACGGGCTTGGCTGTGCAGCCTCTGTGACACTGATTTCTTTTTAATTGTCATTCTTTTTCCCGCCCATCCTTAATCACTGGGGCTCCCCAAAGGCCCATCATTGTCTGTTTCCTTGTTGGTGGTGACACCCTGGCCCCGTCCACTTCCTGGCTTGCATTCCCCTGTCCCTCGCTTGCTGGTTCCCAGGAGAACCTCCTATTGTTTGTATCTCCCTCGTTTCTTTCCTTCCATGTTCCCTGGGTCCTGGCGGGCTTCAGGAGGCAGGTTTGCTCTGGGACATGGGGCGCTCTCGGTGTGTTCTGCTCTCTGGGCCGGCTCCCTTGGCAGGAGCACCTGCTCTGGTGCCATGGGGCTTGTCTACCTGCCTACTCTGTGCCCAGTGCTCTTCAGCTGGACCCTCTGGTCTCAAAGCCACCGCTCTATGCTCTTCTTGCTCTGACCTCGGGAGCCTCAAGCCAGGGCCTCTCCCTGCTTCTTCATCCTCTGTTAAGACCTTCCTTCCACCTTAGTTAGAGTTAATCCTCTAGCAGCGATTTTCAACTGGTGTGCCCCAACAATTTTTAAAATATGCAATACCTGACTGTTTAGTCAGAGGCACTGACCTCTTTTCCCTTAGATTGTCAAACAAAACAATGATAGCAACCAACGATAGCCATCGGGTATTTTTTGATGTCCCGCAGAATTTTAGTAATTAGTTTCTGTGTGCCATGAAAAAAGGTGAAAACCACTGGTCTATAGTTAGTGGTCCCACTCTGGGTTCCCATCCAATCTTAGTGATCCTGGGCGAGATAGTCTTCTTAATAAATATAAATTAGACTTTATCAAACTAAGAACTCTGTCTTCAAAAAACAATTAAGAAAACGAAAAGGCAGGCTACAGAGTAGAAACCTTGTAAAGCATTTCGACCTGTTTATTGGTTGAACTAGAGACACACCAAGTATGTCTTCATGTTAATGTTATTAGGGGCAATTGATGAAATCCTGGTACATTTTTTGGGAATTCCTGAAAAAATATCCTCCAAGTCATAAGTTTTAGTTTAAAAGTAAGTAAAGAGAATAAATGCAGATTTCAGTGCCCTTCCTCACTGGTGGTGTGTGGCCCACGTGTTCTCACAGGATAGCAGGACCACAGAACCTGCAGTGAATGTAAGCAGCATCTGCACTTCTAAACCGTGTAGACGGGCGAACGAACCCGTTTGCTCAGTTTCTCACAAAACCTGCCACCATGTTCCCAGGGGCAAACAGCAGGTTTTTACCAGGCTCCAGGGCCCCACAGGCTTCCTTCAAAAGACCCATTAGCCAGGGATCAAAATGCACCTTTGACTTTTGGAAAGGCCTCAAGTCCCTCTGCTGACTCTGCCACATGTCCTCCGGTGAGGGAGGGCCCCAGTGGGGATGGAGCCTGAGTCAGCACTGAAGGGGTCTGGGAAGGGACCCCGTTGACAAGAGAGGGTGTGTCCTTATTGCAGCAGCTGGGCAAGTGTCCTCAGGGCTGACCGGAGGGACTGGGAGAGGTGGGTGGGATTGGAGAAGAGGGTGCTGGTGCTCCTGTGAGGGTCACTGAGCCTGGATTACTGGAAGAAGGGGTGCTGAGGGTGGGGTTTGGGTATGGGTGGGGTGCTGAGGAGCCGCACAGGGGAGGTGGCGGAGGGGCGGGGGCGAGGTGGCAGTGTTCCAGCTCTGGAAAGCAAAGGCAGAAGACCATTGGTGAGAGATGAGGAATGCAAGGTGCCCAGAGGGGGTGGACGGGAAGCTGGGGACAGGTGCAAAAGGCTTCTGGGAAGGTCGGGTGAGAAGCTGTGGGGGGTCCAGTGCAGGGGCTGGTCAGTTCCTCTTAGTGTTTGTTTAAGACAGGAAACTGGAGCAGATTTTTGGCTAGAGGTTTAGATGGCGTTAATGGCAGGGGAGAGCATGCTCCAGGGAGAGGAATAAGGTGATGGGGACAAATCAGCGCTGGGGTTAGAGGCTGCAGACACAGGACAGCGAGGCCCTCGCCTGGGCCCTACCCATGCAAAGAAAATGGTAATTTCTGAGTTTGTGGAAACTGGAGCTATTGCAGTAGTCTATCAGAAGTGCAGATGCATCGCAGCCTCTCTCTGCACTGGGAACACGGGGGAGGCAGCCACTTACTGTTGATATTATTGTTCCTTGTTGTGTTAACAAAGTTTCAGTTTTTGTAGATTGTTTATCATAACTGTAAGAGGATTTGAGATAGTTTTCATGTTTCCCCCACGTTTCTTCTCCTGACAGGACATTTTCAGTTCCTGCACCTGTTCTATGTGGTTTGTTGTGTTTTAGGTGAGTGGAGCCCACAGGTGAGACATCGTCCTTCATTTTACAGCCAGAGCACAGGAGTCCCGGGAGGCGTGCAGCAGTCAGGTCTTCCTCCCTCTCGGAGAGGAGTGAGAAACCAGAGTCCCAGTGTCTCCCTTCTGATTTTAGTCGAAGAATGCAGCCACCCAGTGGTCATGAAGGGTTTGTGTGCCGAGTGTGGCCAAGACCTGACCCAGTAAGTACCGACCCGGCGTGAGCATACTGCCTTTCATGTTGGAAGGGGGACGGTGGGTACAGAGGTGACGGGTGGAGGGCACGGGTGGGGGCTGGGAACCTGACTGCTCGAAGGTCAGCTCGCCCAGCCACCCGTTGCGGGGGGGGAAGCACTAGTGAGTAGAGATGCATTTCTGACCCTGCGGCGTGCATAGGGGGTGCTGTGCCTGGCTGTTTCCTCATGGAGTGCCTGTGTCAGGGTGACATCCGTGTTTTCAGCGGAGTCTGTGAGGGACTGGAACGTAATCGTTTGGCCAGTCTCCTGTGTGTTTTAAGTGGACAACGTTCCACAGTTGCCAGCAGCACATTGACCGCAATGGAAATGAAAGTGCTCGCTGCATGGGTTAGCAGCCGAAGGCAGCCACCTGACAGCCCTCTCGCTTCCACAGGCTGCAGAGCAAGAACGGGAGGCAGCAGATGCCACTGTCCACAGCCACCGTGTCAATGGTGCACAGTGTCCCGGAGCTGATGGTGAGCTCTGAGGTGAGTGCGCTCGTGGGTTCCAGAGCAGGGAGAGGGCAGCTGGAGAACGTGCAGGGCTTTGGTCATCTTTATCTCTGAAGTGACCTCTGGGAGGACGACGAGTATGGGGGCTGCACTTGTCTCTTTCCCAAGTGATTCCACGTGGGAGGCACCCGGCTCCCTGCTGTCTAGGGCTTTGGTTCCAGTCCCCTGGGGCCAGGTCTGGGCTGGGGGAATTAGACATGGGAACACATGCTGTGACCAGCGGATCTAGTCAGGAGGCTGAGGGCCAGGGTTAGAGCCCACAAGCAGCTGCTACCAGAACAGGTGGCTGTGCAAGACGTGACCTGGGTAGAGTTAAGGGCATCAGGGGTGCTTGTGGAGTGGACATGGGTGCAGGGACCCTGAAGAGGCCTCAGAGCTCCTAGGGAGGCCCCTTTGCATTTGTGTACCAGCAGGCCCAGCTGCCCAGGAATTGAAGGTGTCTGCACAAATAAGAAGTTTGGAGTTTTACCAGATCTGTTCCTTTTGTGCATTCCAAGAACCCTGACACCTCATGTTTCTGTGGTCTGAGTCTAACGGGCTGAGTGAGCATCGCCAGGACAGAGCACAGGAACGCGTCTGTGGGGTTGTATAAAAGCTCAGTTATAAAGCAGTTTCAGAGCTCTACATCTGTGTGACTAGGTGATACATTGTTACAGGGTTTTTTTAGATTTGTGCTTTTAAGTGATACCTACTTTTTTTTTGAGAAAGACAAAATATCAGATACATGATTCAGGTTTTTCTGAATTACTGGACTTTAAACAAATGTAAATACGTGTGTGTGTGTGTGTGTGTGAGAGAGAGAGAGAGAGAGAGAGAGAGAGAGAAAGAGAGAGAGAGAGAGAGAGGAGGAACTAGGGAGCTGGAGGATTAAAGAGAAGAAAGTATCCACTGTTTTCTGCCATCACGGAACCACTGTTGGCTTCATTCCCTTCAGGATCAGAGGTTAGATTTCTGTGCAGCCTAATGAGAGCCGGCGTTGGTTGACAGTGAGTTGCAGTGAGAAATGGGAGTGATGCAGGCCCCAAAGTCTTTGTCATGGGCCCACATCAGTCCCCTCACCGCTGAGTGTGGTAGGACCGGGCCCTTCCAAGAGCAGTGTCTCCGCTGGCCCTCGAGGGCAACATCTGGGCCATGCCGTCCCCAGGACCCACCTGGGCCTCTTCCAAGGTGAAGCCGAGCGGCTGGCACCTGAGATGCATCCCACATGCCTGCTGCTGCACCTCGTGTCCTAGTTGTCCTCGTCCCAGCCTACCGTCCCACTTTCTCATTCCTTCTGCAGGTCACGGCATTGAGTTGCTCCACAGCATCCAACCAAACTTTTATAGGCACCATCACTTCCTCTTACCTCCTTTTTCATTGGTTTACACCTTTCGTGAAATGACAGAATTAGGATCACAAGGCAGAGTGCCTTGCAGGGTGTGGTACACACTGCAGGCTCCAGGCAGCAGGGGAGTAGCCCTGTGGCCCCACGTGGTCTCAACAGCAATGGGTCCACTGGCCGGCAGTGCAGAGGGCGGTGAAGAGTATGCTCAGCTTCCACCTGTTTTTCTTAATAAAATTGAATTAATTTTGGATCCAGATAGACTTGCATTGTCATTTTTCCTTTTTCATTTTAACTTCAGCAAGCCGAGCAGTTAGGGAGGGAAGACCAGCAACGACTGCATCGGAACAGGAAGCTGGTGCTCATGGTCGACTTGGACCAGACCCTGATCCACACCACGGAGCAGCAGTGCCAGCAGATGTCAAACAAAGTGAGTGTGGCGGCCCGCGGGGCTTCCTCAGCCTGTGCCACAGGCCCCCCCACGGTCCTCGGCACCATGAACTGCAAGCCTGGAAGGCCCAGGGCGCGGGCAGAGTGGGTGGCAAAGAGGGCACTCTTGGGGGAGAAGAGCAGATGTGTGTGCTCTTCAGGAATGTCTGCAGTGGGGGGCAGTGCAGGTGCACCTGGGCTGTAGGTGAGGCTGCACCCCACCCTGCGTGAATTCCCCAGCGAAATACAGAGAATGGGTCGAGGACAGGATGCTACTTCAACTTTGTGCTCAGAAGTTGTGGAGCTGAGAAATTGAATTTCTGGACCTTTCAGAGACTTTGCATGCCCGTTGCAGGTGGCTGTTCCCAGGCAGGTGTCCGCTCCTGCTGTCATTACCTAGAGACCAGCGTCACTGATATCGTCACCTTTCACTTCTGTGTTGCTATGTAGCCCTCTGTTAGTGCGTGGGTTTTCGTGTCCACAGAGCTCATCAGTCTGGTTAGGACAGCACTATGGGAAGTTGTCCTTGACAGAGGGACCAGGCTAAGCCAGGCTGGCTTATTGGTTTATCGTGCCTTTGAAGTCAGGCATTTATAAGACAGTTGAACTAGTTGTAACATGCCAGTTTCTCAGCTAATATGGTCCAGAAGGCAAGTGTCAGCCTCTGCACGGCCAGTCCTCAGCTATTGCTAGGGCTTCAGTGCTGCCACACCCTGCTCATTGGCCCATCCCTCTGCTGGCTCGGTAACAGCGTGATGACAGGGCTTTGCCAGCCACCCAGAGCCCACCACACGCTGCTGCTGACCCAGGACGCTGCTGGCGACGTCAGAAAGACACTTCTTACCGTGTGCCTTTAAGGATGTTTATTGCAATTCATGGACTATTTAACTGTTGAGTGGGGTGGAAGTTGTTTATAAGGTTTCATTCCTAGTCTTCTAACATTAGCCTGATCACAGGGCTTTGACTGACTTAGAACTGGGAAAAGTTAACTAAGCCTAAAATTGGTTACTTTTCCTTTATAGTTGTTGTTTAGAGCATTTTTGCCGAGAAAATTAATGATAAATAGGATTAAAAAGATCAGAGTTTACTTCCTGAGGAGAGGGAACCTATTTGCCTATTAATCATGTATAAGCAGGTTGGTATTACTAATTTCACCTGTCTGCTGAGGTGATTTAGAATGCTGTTTCAGCTTCTGTGATGTGTCTATAAGTTAATAAAGCTGTGTCTTAAAATAGTCCATGAAGTAGACTAGCTTATGTGGGAACCTGTGGCTTGCTTTCATTAACTGGGGAAGACACTGTCAGTAGATTAATGGGAACCTGTTCTAAGCCGACTGTGGTTCTGCTATCTGACCAATGTCAGTATTTGAAGGAACAAAGACATGGGTGACATTACTTCTGGGCACTTTGCTTTATCCATCATCAACAAGAGTGGGCACAGTAGTCAGGATGTGTGAGGGTCTGCTGGTGTCCTTGCAGCCCTTCAGTGACACAGCAGTGACTGGGTAGTTGCCTTAGTTGTCATAGCTGGTTCCTGTGGGTGTTGGTCACAGGTGGTCTCTGTACTTAAGACAGATAGTGGCCCTGTTGCCATAGGTCAGTGATGGCGAACCTATGACACGCGTGTCAGAGGTGACACACGAACTCATTTTTTGGTTGATTTTTCTTTGTTAAATGGCATTTAAATATATAAAATAAATATCAAAAATATAAGTCTTTGTTTTACTATGGTTGCAAATATCAAAAAATTTCTATATGTGACACAGCACCAGAGTTAAGTTAGGGTTTTTCAAAATGCTGACACATCGAGCTCAAACGGTTCGCCATCATTGCCATAGGTAGTTACTATAGGTACTTGCGGTGGTTTTGTAGGCAGTTACGTGTTGTCATCGGTAGTTGCTGTGTGAGTGGCCACAGCAGACGGGGCTGAGCTCACTCCGTGGAGCATGCGTAAAGAAATCACGAGTGTCAGGTAAGTTGGCAGGATACCTGGACCCGTGTCCTACAGTGGAGCCGGTGCCCTCGGGTCCTCTGCTGACTGGGCATTCGCTCTCCGCAGGGCATCCTGCACTTCCAGCTGGGCCGGGGCGAGCCGATGCTGCACACCCGCCTGCGTCCGCACTGCAGGGAGTTCCTGGAGAAGGTCGCCAGGCTGTACGAGCTGCACGTCTTCACCTTCGGCAGCCGGCTGTATGCACACACGATCGCAGGTGAGCGTGCGGCTCAGGCTGAGCTGTGTGTGGTGCGCCTGAACACTAAAACTGGGGTATTTCTTACTGTCCATCATGCTTGCTTTCTTTTTTTTATATAGATATTTTTTTTATTGATTTCAGAGAGGGAAAGGGAGAAGGAGAGATAAAAACATCAATGATGACGGGGAATCATTAATTGGCTGCCTCCTACATGCCCCACACTGGGGATCGAGCCCACAACCTGGGCATGTGCCCCAACCAAGAACCAAACTGTGACTTCCCGGCTCTCAGGTTGACGCTCAACCACAGCCACCGCGGCCGGGCCCGCCATGCTTTCTTGAAGGTGAAGGAAGCTCCCTGTCAGCCTCCTTGGGAGCTGGCAGTTGGGGTGGCCAGGCAGCGTTGTCTCTGAAGTTCAGCCACTGCTCTCTTGGGCAGCCCCTCCCCACCTGCCTGCGACCCCAGAGCCAGTCTAGATGGACTGGCTGCTGTCACGGGCCAGTTTAGAAGTTGGTCAGGACCACTGGTACCTGGAAAAAGAAACATCTATTATAATAAAAGCTTAATATGCTAATTAGACCCCACGTCCTTGCGGACAAAGCCGGGGCTGCGAGGGAAGCCCAGGTCCCAGGTGCCAAAGGGAAGCTGGTGCTGGCAGCCGGGGGGAAAAAGGCCTACTCTTGCATGAATTTCGTGCATTGGGCCTCTAGTCTTATATATAAGTGAACTTAAAATGTTTTACTGATTGGTTTAGAAACACTTGTGGGGCCACATTGCTTACTTCTGTCTGCACTTAACACTTAAGGTGCAGACAGGTGATACTACTAGGAGCACGCAGACGTCGGGCTGTGCTGGCTGAGCTCAGTGCATGGAGGCAGAAGCCCTTGGGTCATGCAGCATTGCCCACGGTGGCCACAGCTGGGGGCAGTGTAGGGCATGGGCTTTACCTCCCTGCTGATGGCTGGGATCCAGCCCCACTGACTGCGGGTAGACCTAGTACCTGCAGTATGACATGGTCACAGCTCGGTATTAGATGTGCGATGGTTAGATTCAGCACCTTGAAATTCTCTTTACTGGTTGGTCTTGGTCTTTTATTGTTGCTGGAGAAATGAATTTCTCATCTCCTGTTTACATTTAATATCCTTGTAGGAAATTTTAATTATGGACATGTAGGCAACATATTAAAGTAATTCATCTTGTAACTAAAATCCAACATATTTGCCTTTAGCATGTGGCTGCTTTGGCTATTGGGATATGTGATTGGGACATGTGAAGGTTAATGTAACTACTTCATAGAATTCTCTATGATGCTCTGTGTCTCTGATTCTAAAGAAACAGTAAGATCTTCACTGTATGCACAGTGACATGTCCGTGCTTCTTAGACACACATGACCTTTCTCCTGCTTTCTTTTCAAAGGCTTTTTAGACCCTGAGAAGAAGCTTTTTTCTCACCGAATATTATCGAGGGACGAGTGTATTGACCCGTTTTCTAAAACAGGAAACCTCAGGTACGTACCTGCTCTGTTCATCACAAAGCTTGCTGTTGGTTCCCATTGTGAAGATGCATTGGGAGCATCGAGCAGTAATTGTGTTTATTCTTAAATTTCTGCCACTGTCTCTGCTACTGTCTTCTAACCAGCCCCCTACTTCCTGCCTCTCCTTGAATGTCCAGGCAGTGGCAGGGGCCTGGGGGGATGGGGGTGTGGAGAGCAGGGCTGGGGGGCACAGGAAATTCAGGTGACAGTGTCAGTGGAAAGCACCCAAAGCTTCCCCGAGTACAAGGTGGGCTGTCCATCAAGTCACAAGTTTAATGAAGGTGTTTCACGTCGTGTTGGCATCTCAGGTTCACATTCCTCGAGAGCTGGCTTGCTGTTAATGCTGGGAGTGTTAGGAGAGCCTAGGTCACATTTCCATCTGCCCCTCGGCTATTCCCATCCCTCCCATCACCACCCCCCTTCCTATCTTGTCCTGTCTATGCCTCTGTGACTGGGCCATCCCACCCAATCACAGGGCTCTTTGATATTCTCAGAAATGTCTTCTGTATATGAGCATTGTCCCACTTTCTACCCAGTGTCAGGTAGAACTAACGAGATTGGATAGTAAGGCAGTACCAGCTGTGGCCTCAGTGGCCTCCTGGCTGGTGTCAGCCACCTGCATCTAACATTTCGTGGGATTTTTTTTTGGGGGGTGAGGGGTGGGGTTTTTTTTTTAATATATTTTATTGAGTTTTTACAGAGAGGAAGGGAGAGGGATAGAGAGTTAGAAACATCGATGAGAGAGAAACATCGATCAGCTGCCTCCTACACATCCACTATTGGGGATGTGCCCGCAACCAAGGTACATGCCCTTGACCGTAATCGAACCTGGGACCCTTCAGTCCAAAGGCCGATGCTCTGTCCACTGAGCCAAACCGGTTAGGGCTAACATTTCGTGTTTGGGGTGTCCACATAACTGAGACCCATTCAAGTCAATGTGCACTAGGAAAAGTCTGAAAACACTTGTTTCGGAAACAGACCTTGTGTGTTTGCTCCTTAGCGTCAGAGTGAGCAGGGTGATGTGGACAAGGAAAATGAGCGAGCGTGTCAGTGACTGTTAGGGAGCCTGCTCCATAGTGGACACGGCAGTCCCCCATCTGGAATTAAATATGCTGGAAGGCATCTGCCACCGAGGTGTTTTATCTACCTTATGTTCTTCTGGAAAATGGACTCAGAAAATAATATTAATTTTGGACACATGAACATTTTTTCCTGGGTAGTGTAGCCTTTATTATTTACTAGAGGCCCAGTGCATGAAATTCATGCACGGAGGTGGTGTCCCTCAGCCCAGCCTGCACCCTCTCCAATCTGGGACTCCTCGAGGGATGTCCAACCCCAGAGGGATCGGGCCTAAATGGGCAGTCGGACATCCCCCTCACAATCCAGGACTGCTGGCTCCCAACCCCTCTTCTGCCTGACTGCCTGACTGCCAGCCTGACTGCCCCTAACCACTCCCCTGCCAGCCTGATCAATGCCTAACTGCTCCTCTGCCGGCCCAGTTGCCCCTAACTGCCCTCCCCTGCTGGCCATCTTGTGTCCACATGGGGGCGGCCAGCTTTGACCACATGGGGTGGCCATCTTGTGTGTTGGAGTGATGCTCAATTTGCATGTTACTCTTTTATTAGATAGATTAGCAGTAGAGAACCTGAGCAGTGGTAGGCATCTTTCCTGGGTTTATCCCCCGATCTTCATGACAGGCAAGAAGCAGTCATCATTCTGAGTATTGAGTGCTATGAGCCAGCTCTCTGAATCTCAGGGGTGTGGACAGAAATGAAGTTTAAGGAGACCACGTGAGGTAGCAGAGCATGCTTGCACCCAGGGATGGCCTTTAGATCCTTGTTAATATTTCTGCTCACCCACACACTAATAGCTTTGGGGAATACAAGTCACCTTTTGGGAACTTCAGGGAACAGCTTTTTCAAACAGCTGAGTTTGAACAAGGCTGAGCCTTCCTACCTCTCTCTCTGAAAAGCCCTCACCTGGGAACAGGTGGGAGCAGACTCTGGCCTGTAGGCAGATAACCTGTGTTTGTAAATGAAGTTGTACTGCGACATGGCCACTGACTTAGGTTTGTCCTGAGGCTTTGTTAGGACTGGAGCTTTCTCCTTCCTCTCTGGTCTTCTAAGGAGAGTGCTGACTCCTGCCTTGAGAAGTAGCAGAGACAGTGGAGGGAACTGGGACTGTTTTAATGTTACCTTTTCTGGAAACAGTTTAAACGCAAGCTAAACAAAAGTCCTTCGTGTACTTTGCATCTGTTTTGCATTTGTCTGCTGTCTAGTGGTTCCAAGTGAGATAGTTGTCACTCTTGTTTGATGATTCTTTTTGTAAATCATGCTAGTAGTTCTGATACATTTTTACTTCCAGAAATCTCTTTCCTTGTGGAGACTCAATGGTTTGCATTATTGATGACCGAGAAGATGTCTGGAAGTTCGCCCCCAATCTGATCACCGTAAAGAAATATGTCTACTTCCAGGGCACAGGGGACATCAATGCTCCCCCAGGGTCCCGGGAGCCTCCAGCGAGAAAGAAAGGTGGGCAACTCCCTTCTAGTCCTCAGAGAAGTATTAGCATTTGCTTCACTGTCTCCTCCGCCTCTCACCTGCCTTGTGACTGCTCTGAATTCAGGACTCACTTTGTTGCTGCTTGTTTGTATTTCGGTATTACAGAGGCCGTTGTGTTTATGTTATTCTAAAAGGCAGGATATTATGTTTCTGTTTCTTAATCGTACAATTTGAACATTTTTCCAGTTGAGTAGGATTAAATAAAATGTTTTGCGGTATGCAATTAGTGCTGCACCCACTAAAATAGGACTGAGAGGTCTGGGCTGGAAGAAAGTGGGACCCAGCAGGGTTCTTGCAGTGGGCAGCTCATGGCCTGTCTGAAGCAGGGTATAGCGGATGCGTTCTGCGTTTTCCCATTTCTTGGAAATCATGGTAACCTCTCGTTTTATGTGCACCTGCAGTGAATTATCCTCCCAAAGGTGCTGACATCGCAGATCAAGCTCCGTCCATTAAGGACCCTGAGGAGGGAAGGCCGGTTTCTGCAGTTGAGCAGAGTAACGGCCTTGGGAAGCCCATGAGGGAACTCAACGGGGACTGGGCCTCACCTGCTGCCCGAGCCCCTTTGGTGGACGGTAGGGGGCCCCCAGTGTCTGTTCAGCAGCAGTGTCGGACCTCAGTGGAGAAACAGCCCGCACAGGGCACAGCAGGCAGTGACCTGGACTTTGACTTATCCAGTGACAGTGAGAGCAGCAGTGAGTCGGAGGGTCAGTCCTCCACCACCTCTGATGGCGAAAGTGGGGAGAAGAAGAGCCAGAAGAAGCCTAAGGCTGCGCAGGACACCAGGAGAGCCATGCAGCAGGGCGGGGCCCCTGGCCCGGGCGGGGAGAGGCCCACACGGCCAAATCACTGCGGAGAGCCTGTGCCCGGAGTCCAGCCTGACCTGCAGGAGGAGGGCGAGCGAGACGGCTTCTGTGGGCTGGCAGGTGGCTCTGCTGACAAGAAGGAGGCCGAGACGGAGTCCCAGAACAGTGAGCAGTCAGGCATCACAGTGGGCGAGTCCCTGGACCAGAGCGTGGAGGAGGAGGAGGAGAACGAGGAGGAGGAGGACGATGATGGCGATGACCACCTGGTCCACCTGGAGGAGATCCTCGCCCGCGTGCACTCCGACTACTACGCCAGGTATGACCGCTACTTGCGCGGGGAGACCCAGGAGGCACCCGACATACGGAAGATCGTGCCTGAGCTCAAGAGCCGAGTACTGGCGGACGTGGCCATAATCTTCAGTGGGCTGTACCCCACCAACTTCCCGGTGGAAAAGACGCGGGAGCATTACCATGCCACGGCCCTCGGAGCCAGGATCCTCACCCAGCTGGTGTTAGACCCTGACGCCCCTGACAGGGCCACCCACCTGATCGCTGCAAAGGCAGGTAAGTGGCCGGCCAGCCGCTAGGCCTCCCTGGGTCCTGCCCTGGGGTTGGGGCAAGGACAACCGAGGGAGTTCATGGAGTAGAATGCATCTACATCGGCCTCTGCAGTCATTTTTTGAAACTAGCAGAGCTCCTGTTTCATGTGGAATTTTCAGAAGCATCTTTCTGGTAATTACATAATGGCTAAATCCTATTTGGACTGGTTCTGTGTCTGCCCATCTTGGGCCTAGGTATGCATGTGGGCTTGTCCTGGGTGCATGCCTTAGGCTCTGTACTGGGTCCCTGAATATCTGGGCCATTGCTCCCCTCTTGTAGGCACAGAGAAGGTGCGGCAGGCCCAGGCATGCGGACAGTTGCACGTGGTGAACCCCGACTGGCTGTGGAGCTGCCTAGAGCGGTGGGACAAGGTGGAGGAGCAGCTCTTCCCGCTGAGCGAGGACTACGGCAAAGTGCAGAGGTGAGCTGCCAGCAGACTCGGCCCCATCTCCTCAAGAGCCCACCCCTGGCCGCCAGCCTCGCTGCTCGCAGCCCCACACGGCATCCCCAGTGTTCAGTGCGTGGCTTCCTCAGCCCTCTCACCTGTGCCCTGCCTGCCCCACTGTGGCTCCTCCAGGCTCCGTCACGAACAGTTTATCTGGAAAAGGTGACCGTTACTGCCTAGGGAAGAAGTACAGGTTTTTTCCTGTGACTGTGCAGTAGGGCTGTCAGTGGTGAATCTAGTTTGCGTGTTTCTTTCATGACTGCTAGAAGTTATATGAGCCACACAACTGCTGTAGAGTCACTGGGAGAGGCTCAGCCGTGGCAAGGAATATGTAAGAGAGCCTGGTTTTTGTTGTGTGTTTTTCCATAAAGGTTAGAAAAATGCTTCCTATTCTTAAAGTTTGAATGTTGTATTTAGAGGGAAAATCCTGGGATGGACATGAGGGAAACAACAAACGCAGCCTGCACTGAGGTCCATGGTGGGCACACCTCTGCCCGGTACTGTGTGATGTCCTGCCCAGGGCTCTACCCTAGAAGTTAAGATGAGTGGTGTCCACGTCTTCATCCGCACAGGCTCTGAGCGTCAGATGGAGGGAGACCAGTTCACAGGCCTGTGTAGGGCGTCTTGCATCCCCCGGGGAGGCCTGGCTCCGTCTCATGGCCTTTTCTCACCCGCAGGGAGGACAGTCCCGCAGCCTTTCCCGACAGGCAGGGTGCGCTGCCAGCTGCCTTGTTCCATCCGACACCCGTGCACCCCAAGGCCCAGCCCGGCCCTGACGTCCGGATCTACGACGCCAGCACGGGCAAGCTCATCCGGAAGGGCACTGCCAGCCCCGGGCCCCCCGGCTCCCTGCAGATTCACACGGGACACTCCTCCTTCAGGTATGTCTGCCACACCGTGGAGCACGCCTGCTGGCAGGGCTTCCCTTGGGTGGGCTGGTGCGTCCGGTTCTGAGTTGGACTTGGCTGCCTGCTGAGGGCTCTGACTGCTGGTGTGGAAAAGCCTGCCCCACTTCCACTTCGGACCTCTCTGCATACTTTTTTGTCTTGTGTCAGCTGACGTGCACTGGCTCGCTCACGCTGGCTCAGTGCCGCCCTCCATGAGCCATTTCGTTTGCTGACCTCACATGGGCCGTTGTTGGTCATATCCCAGCAGACGATGCGCCGGGGGTGCTGGGCCTGACCCTGACTGCCTCAGGCCCACCCGGTCTGTCCCTTCCACAGGACAGACAGCTGCCGTGAGGGAAAAGGGCAGCTTTGGGCCTGTGCTGGGCTATGCCGCCCCAGCTCAGCAGCACAGCCTCCCTGGCCACCTGCCCACTTCCACACAGCCCAGATGGGCTGGAGATGGCGCTGGTGTCAGCAGGACATGTAGGAAAGACGCCCAAGTGGACCTGCACCGGCGCTTCCCTAGGCGGGAGGGCACTTGCGGAGCGAACTGTCCCTCTGAGTCTCAGGTGCGCCCTCCATTTCCTCTGTGCTGACAGGATCCTGAGTTTGAGGACCATACACCCCACTGTGTAAACAATCTTGGGACGGTGTCTGAGATTTAAATGAGGGGTCTGAGGCTGGTGTTTTAAAGAGCTGCCAATGATGTGGCATTGTGGTAGACGTGTGGCCCTGCATCATGTCCCCTCTCCTTCTGGAAAGCTCCGCGCCCCTCCCTCTTCCCCCAGCAGCTGTCCATGCTGGGAGTGGCCATTGATGCCTCCCTCTGGCCTTCCCCTGGACATGGTGACACTTCAGAGCCCGACTGAGCCACTCAGAGTGGACATAGAGCCCCCCCTAAAGGCCAGGTGAGGGGCCCCAGGTGTGAGTGGACAGGCGCCCTGGGTTGGGCTTTGTGTGATGATTGGTTGTTTGTAACTAAAAGCATCGTCACTGTTAAATCCCACCAGTTAAGGAGTTAACATTTGACCTCTGTGCTGCTGCTTGCATTCCTGTGACCACCAGTCATGGTAATATCCAGGAAAGGTCATGCGTCCCTTTAATAAGTGGTGTCAGTGATTGGCCACGTTTGCTGGGACTTGCGGTCCCACCAGCAGGTGCAGGTGTCAGGTCACATCTGCCACGTCACCAGGCTGTTGCCTTCTCTCATCTCGACTCACTTAAGCAAGCGGCCCTTTGTAGCCTTAACTTACCCTTTTTTTTCTCCTGGGTTTTTGTGAATTTTTGCCTTTTTGTGTTCATTGAGTTAGAAAAGCTTCCTGTAGTTGCTGCTGTTGAAGGAGGACTGGTTCTTCCCGGCTGGACTGCATCCCTCACCCTCTGTGGACACATGGAGGGCTGGGTGTTCTCCTTTGTCGTCAGCACTTAGGGCTCAAACGTCTATAATGTGTAGCGTTCACTCTCAGACCTTCCTTGGAATATTTCTCACGATGGATTTTGTCTGTATTCCACTCTCTCTTTAGAAGTTCTGTGGTGACCAATATTATTTCAGGTATATATTTTTTAAAGGATAGCCTTTCCTTAGCACCCAGGTGAGCAGATGTTTGGCATCCTCTCTGTCGCCAGAGCAGCAGATAGACGGTTGCTGCTCAATTAAAGCTTCCGCTAAAGCGGTGATGGACTTCACCTCCGCGTTCGTGGAGGATGTGTTCCCGAGGCAGAAAGGCTTCTTCGGTATTTCACAGGAACTCTCGTTCAGGTTATCCTGCAAAAAACTAAGTGTGGTTCCAGCTCTGTAATTACTGTCCCCGAGAGGTTCAGAGGGGGGTGGTTTCTTGCTTCGGTTCTGATGTGCATGGACTTTCAGGTGTTCGGGATGGGCCTGTGTCTATCCGCTACCACACAGAGGGTGGTGTGTGTGTTTCTATTGCTGAATCATTCTTAAGTGGCGAGGCTGCCCTCCTTTCTGAGGCTCCCCATTCAAGAGGAGACCCAGGCGGAGTGCTGGGTGCACCTCAGCTGTGTGTTTCTGCCCCTCCCAGCCTCGGTCACGGGCGGGGAAGTGGTTGAGAAAGGGCTGTACCAGCAGAGGCTTCCTGAGCAGCAGACTGGGTGGGGCCAGGTCAAGGACAGCATTCCTTCAGGAAGTCACTGATGCGCTGATTTCTCCCCACTTTCACAAGAAGAGGGAAGGGTGACCCTCTGTGTGGACTTGGCTGCTGTTGTGGTGAGACAGCTAGAGCCCAGTGGCCATGGTGGTTGAGCCCAAGAGTGGCTGAGTGGTGGTCCCATGTGGGCATCCCCTGGACCCAGTGGGGATGCCATGGCACCTTGAGGGGGTGGTCTAGATAAGGAGAGAGAATGGAGTCCTAGCAGGTAAGTATCTGGGCCTGTCCATGCGTGGCTGCCCGGCACCTAGAGCTCATCTCTGTCTGGATAGCACCTCAGATGCAAGGTGTGCAGATGGCCACGTCCGGAAACGGAGGGCTGTGGACCTCAAGAGCCCGTGCCACCCCCCCCTCTCTGGGCACTCGCCAGCTCTTGGCTCCTACTGGTCCTAGTGCTCAGGTACCCCTGTAGTTCCTGTGTGTTGAGGGCTGTGGGAGAGGGAGCCCAAGAATGGTGATGCGCCTGTTCTGTGCCCAGAACTCTAGGCACCTGGACCTCATTTCCCTGGAGGCCCTGAGAACTGAGTGTCTGTTGGTTCTGGGCTCGGAGGCTGCTCCATCCAGGAAGGTGAAGTCAGGTCTGGGTGAGTGTAGGGTAGCACTCTCCTGGCTGCTGGCAGCGTGTGTGAGAACCTTCCCTCTCTCCCACGAGGTCTGTGTGGGAATGGGGGTGAGAGCGGTCCACGCAGCCAGCCTGCATCGCAGCCAGCACAGTACACAGTGCACAGCTCGCCTGTGCTGAGGCCAGGGCCAGTAAGAGTTGCCATGTGATGGGCGAAGCTTAGAGATGGTGAGAGGTCCTAGTCTGGGGGTGTGGAGACACCAGGACCAGGAGGAACCCCAAGTTCTCGGCATTGCAAATCCTCTGAAATTTTGAATTCCTTTTTATTTATCCATCATTACTGTGTGTGGTTCATTGTGAACATTTGATTTTTTTAAATGAAAGGTTTTCTCTCTTTTTTTAAATATGTTCATTGATTTCAGAGAGGAAAAGAAAAGGAGAGAGAGAAACATGAGTGATGAGAGAGAACCATTGATAGGCTGCCTCCTGCATGCCCCCCACTGGGGATCAAGCCGACAACCCAGGCATGTGCCCTTGACCGGAATCGAACCCGGACTCTTCAGTCCACAGGCCAACGCTCTATCCACTGAGCCAAACCAGCTAGGGCAAGGTTTTCGTTTAAGACAGTTACAGAATCCCACGCAGTTGTAGGAAATAATACAGAAAGATCCAGCTGACACCAACGGTAGCATTTTGCAAACTGCAGCCCAACCTCACAGCTAGAATGGGGACAGGGACATAGTGCATACACGGGTGCCCCTTGCCCCAGGCCTCCCGGGGGTGCATGTAGCCATAGGCATGTCCCCACCCACCCCAGCTGCCACAGATCCAGTCGCCATCCCTGGGATTCCAAGTCTCCTGTGCCGTCACTGTGCCCTCCCTGCTGGGCCCTGCTTCCTGGTGACCATCACCCATGTGGACGTTGGGGTGTGCCCCGTGTTTCTCCCAAGTAACTGCGGGCTGTAGCTGCCGGGTTGGGTGCTCAGTAGTGACATTGCTTCTCCCTTCTCAGCGTCGCCCAGCATGAGGCGTGTTCCTAATTTTACTGGCATTTCCTCGAGGTCAGTGTGTGGAGCCTGTGAGGGCCTGCCCTCCGTGCGCCCTCAGCAAGAGCGGCTCGCTCTCTTTTGCCCGTTTCTGACTGGATTGCTTGTTTCTGCCGCCAAGTTTCAGAGTTGGTTACAAGCCCTTCGTCACTTCTGTGGCTGCAGAGACTGTTGCACTCTGGCCCTGTTCCCGCCGTCTTACAGTCGTTGGCAGAACACAAGTGCCTACTTTGATGAGGTTATTTGTCAATTTTCCTTTCATGAGTTATGCTTTTGGTGTCAACTTATCAGCTCTGCCTCATCCCAGGTCCTGAGGTTTCCCCTTACCTTTCACCTTAAGAGGTTTTAGGTCTAGTGTGTGTGATCCAGAGTCCGAGGGTTGAGGCGGGTGGGGGTTGGGGGGGTGCAGGTCATGCCTGGTCACACACTGGAATTCAGGGACCAGTCAGAACCAGCGGGGCTTATTCTCAACCTTTCTTCCCTGTGCTTGTTCTCAACCTTTCGAGTTTTTGTTAAAACTCTGGAACCATTTTTCTGAAGGGAGGCTATATCTTTATTTTTAGTAAAAAGATTCGTTTGCTGCTTTTCCATATTCATGTTGGAGCTCTGGGTGTTTGGAACTGGCAGTGAGTGGGTATGAACTGAAGTGTGGCCTGGTGTCTACATCGGAGAATAAATACCAAGCACTCATTGGTGGGTGAGCCGCTGACAAAGTCGGGAATATGCAGCTGACCCTTGAACCGTGGGGGGATTGGGCGCTGACCTGCACAGTTGAAAATCCACATATAACTTTTGACTCCCCAGAGCATAATTGTCCCTGGGTACCTACAGGACATCGGTTCCAGGGCTGATACCAAAGTCCAGAGGTGCTCAAGTCCCGTCTATAGAATAGCCTAGATCAGTGCACACAGTCGGCCCCTCTGCATCCACAATTCCCAACTCAGATCAGAAACAGCAGGTGTTCACTGAAGGAAGCCTGAGCATAGGTGAACCCGAACAGGTCACACCCGTGTTGTTCAAGGGTCAGCTTAGTCTGACTTGAAAAAGCCATGATCAGCACTCTTTAGGTTGTCCTTTATGTTTCCGGGTTTAAAAGACTTCCCTTCCTTAGTTAATATTTGATTAGCCTAATACAATGGCTGCTTTTTGATTTTGTGGTTTAGACTTAATACCCCATTTTTCTTCAAAAGAATGAGGTTTTACTACAGTGTCGTCAGTGTCCCAGTGATTGGACCTGTGGTGTCCGGTTCCAGGCCCCACAGAGCAGCTGACTCCAGAAACAGTGCCCAGAGGAGAGTAACGGCAGCTTTCACAAGCCCCTGAAATTCCCACGGCCGTGACAGGTGTGAGAGTGTCCGTGAGATCTGACCGTTGAGACGAGTGTGTGTAGGGGGAAGCTTCAGAAACCAACCGTTTTAGACAGAACTAATTGTAACGTAGTGGGACATCTCTGACATGAGCATGGTGTCGGCTCTTGGGCGGAGCTTCTTGGTCTTTGCTGGTTGGTTTATTGTATTAATATTGAATAGTTTAACCCAACTTTGGATATAGAATTCACGGTACCTTTTCCTGTTCTCTGTGGACAGGTGGCATCTGTTTCTTCACCATCACATTTCCTGTTTTTAGAGCCTGGAGAGTATAGAAGTAGTTAGTTTTGTTTTTTTAAATCTTATAGCTTGCTCAACCTTATTTTGAGGATAAATAACAGCTCCTGCTGGTCTCTAGGAAGTTTTTCATCGTCACTCTTCCTCTTTGCCCTTCGTTCTAAGACCAGCGAAGCCCAGTGGATGCTCTGGGGTGGCCGTGGGTGTTGGCTTTCACAGGAGGAAACCAGCAGCCTCAAGCTAGTGAGCAGATGAGGCAGCATGTTCCATAACTAGGATGGTCTCTGTGTGCGTGCCTCCGTGTGTGTGTGTGTGTGTGTGTGTGTGTGTGTGTGTGCTTACCTGTCCCGAAACTAGGATGGTCTCTGTGTGCGTGCCTCCGTGTGTGTGTGTGTGTGTGTGTGTGTGTGTGTGCTTACCTGTCCCGAGTCAGGAATCTGATTCAGTGCTGGAAAAGTGCCTTCCCTCATGTGGGACCTAAAATGTTCATTTCAGAGCTGTTCAGCCTCATCAGCAGCAGATGTTTGGTGAAGAGCTGCCAGATAATCCCGATGGAGAACAGCCTGGTCCTTCTAGAAGAAAGCGACAGCCCAGCATGTCAGAGACCATGCCGCTGTACACTCTGTGTAAGGAGGATTTAGAGAGTATGGACAAAGAGGTGAGACCCTCGGCGTGCCAAGGCCTGTGCCCTCAGCCGGCTCCACTGGGGCCCAGCGTCCTACCTGTGGGTTGGGACTAGCACTTGGTTTCTAGGAAACGAAATGGGCAGCGGTATTGAGCGATGTATCAGTGTGTCGGCAACATTCGGCAATAAGTACACGAACTCGGGTTTGTGATTCCATCGGTTTGTGATTCCATCAGTGGGCCCTCCCAAACCCTCCGTCACCCAGGGAACCTGACAGCGTCTGGGCTTGTCATTGATAAGGGGGTGCTCCTGGCATCAAGCAGGTGAAGGCCAGGGATGCTGCCTAACAGCCATGTAAATCAGTATTGTCTGTCTCCTGGTTCATCTCTAAAAACCACAGCTCTCATGTCAGCCTGTCCTTGGTTCCACATGGCCCGGGGTCCTCCCCTGGCCCTTATGCCCCACACCCTGTCATGGGCCAGGCCCCTTGGGGGAAGGGTCATGCCCATCGGGGTCTCCGTTTGTACATTGTTAGCACAGCATCTCCCTTGGGCTGGCTTGTCTGAAGGGCTGATGTAGAGAACCACGTCACACATCTCCAGTAAACAGAGCAGCAATTGACTCCCAGCGCGCCCCTGGGTGGGACAGACGCTGAGACAGATCATTGGCCGCAGTGCTCACCGCCTGGCACCATGGTGCCATGCCGACAGATCACTCGGTTTCACTGGGGGTGCTGGTCAGAGTGCTGAGGAAGAATACAGAGTTTCAGTTTATTTTCAACAGCAGGAAAATGTAAATGGTCTATTCCGTATAAAACAGCGGTTCTCAACCTGTGGGTCGCAACCCCTTTGGCGGTCGAATGACCCTTTCACAGGGGTCGCCTAAGACCATCCTGCATATCAGATGTTTACATTACGATTCATAACAGTAGCAACCTTAGAGTTATGAAGTAGCAACGAAAATAATTTTATGGATGAGTCACAACATGAGGAACTGTATTTAAAGGGCCAGAAGGTTGAGAACCACTGGTCTAGAACCTCACCAGAACCTCCAATTATCATCCTCAGAGATAGTTTTTTTGTGACCATTAAACCCCTTTTGTACAGGCCCAATTCCTCTGAGAACATTGAGTCTATACACAAGCTGTTTCATGAAGATGTTTTCTTTAAAAGAATTTCCTCACCCTAGCCGGTTTGGCTCAGTGGATAGAGCATCAGCCTGTGGACCAAAGGGTACCAGGTTCGATTCCAGTCAGGGGCACGTATTTTGGTTGCAGGCTCCTCCTTGGCCGGGCCCTGGTCAGGGTTGCAGGAGGCAACCAATCAATGTGTTTCTCTCACATCGATATTTCCCTCTGTCTTTCCCTCTCTCTTCCACTCTCTCTGAAAATCAGTGGGGAAAAATCCTTCGGTGAGGATTAAAATAAAAATTTCCTCAACTCTACTTCTCTAAGCCCAGGTCTAGATGTCCCTTCCACAGGCATGTTGTCCACTTAGAAGGAGGACACCTGGGACCCTCGCTGCTCTCCTCCTGGGCACCTGTCCATCCCCCTGGTCAATCCTGGGTGACCCCACTGCTGTGACCTGCAGACACACTGCCCAGTTTGTCAGGCAGTGACAACATTTTTAACTCCTGTTTGTTTCATATCAAAGGGATTGAAATTTTAATGTCAATTAAAAGTGTTACATAGGACTCTCTCTGAAACCTAATCTTTCTTACAGAAATAAAAATTAGCCTTAAAACTTTAAACATTGCTATTGGGAACAGGAGGAATTGAAGGCGAGAGACATTCTGGACTCTCCCAGAGAGCACGGGAGTGAGGATAGAGGGTGTGTCAGGAGACTGGGGGTTCTCTTTCATCTCCACCAAGAAACCACGCCAGTGCTGTGGGCGGCAGGTGACCTGGGAAGTGGGGGTGTGGTCCGCGCTTCCTGACTGAGTGGGAGCTGACGCTCCTCTCCTGGGGCTCCTTGGTCCTGGGGAGCCTGGGGTGTGATCTCATCCTCCCCCGCGGCATGGCGAGAGGGCTGGGAAAAGTGGGGGCGTGCGCGTGCTGGGAGTGGCAGGCGGTGCTGTTCTAGGCTGCTGTCCCCAGGCTGCATCCACAGGGAAGGCCCCAGGGAGCCGCCCCAAGCAGCTGAGCAGAAGGAAGTCTGCTCTTCCTTAAAATTTCGTCAAACATGATGGCCGTGCCCCAGCTGGCACCCACTGAAGGGACAGGTGGCTCTTGTGCAGGGGCAGCGAGGGCAGAGCTGCTTTTGGCTCTCTGGTCACCCTGGATCGATGGCAGCCAGTGGCCCCATCAGAGGGGCCCATCCTTCAGAGTCTGTTCCCTAGGAGGGGACATGCGTGAGACTCCAGGGTGTCAGAAGACCCTCTCACCATCCAGTGGGTGTGTCTGCTATTTGTCACCGTGAGTCAGCCTCCTGGGGGTTTGCACTCCTTTCCTGAACACCCAGCACCCGGGGCGTTTCAGAGAACCCCTCCCTCCTCCCCCCCAAGTGTAGATGTCGCGTCTTATAGGCAAGTGCTGGCCATAAAGGTGCAGCCTGAGGTCTGCCAGCCACCTCCTGCATCACACACTGGGAGCCTCAGATGGGAGAGGTGTCACAACAGTTCTGTGAGACGCATAAACACGAACTACCCACTCTGCACGCAGACGGCGAGGCGCGTGCTGACCCAGAGGCAGTGACACTGCTCCCCAGCACTGGTCACTAGGGGAGAACAGGTTGGAACAGGTGGAAGCCGCGATCAGAGCCATTGCGTCCCCCCCTATTGCCAGGGTCCTTTTTCAGATAATATTCTGTTAGAGGTGATTCGGGAAACGTGCTGCTTCAGCTTCACCACTGCGGGCGCATTCCATCCTGATTTAGCTGCCAGTGACCTGTTAGTTGAATAACACAATGTCTTTTGCATGAATTCCTTATGTTGACTCTGCAAAACATTCATGGCAAATACAGTTAAGTTCTAGGCATCTACCCAGGTCACCTGGCATGGTTTTGTATAGTTACCTGGTGGCACTCTATTCGTTTCAGTAAATGGATGGTCCTGGGAAGTGTGACTGTGAACATGAGCTTGCTCACCTGTGCCATGTCCTGAGGTCCCTGTGCTCACCTGTGCATTGCTCTGAGGTCCCCGTGCTCACCTGTGCATTGCTCTGAGGTCCCTGTGCTCACCTGCGCTCATACCTGTGCATTGTCCTGAAGTGCCCACCTCTGCCATGACTCAGCTTGTTGTACTGTTAGTCCACCAGAGGGGGCTCTTAGGCTGGGATCTTGTAGAGATTGCAGTGTACTCTCCTGCTGTGAACTCAACAGCACATCTGGTGTCTCCAGAGCCCGGGTGCGGAGCTCAGGTGCCTCTTCCAGCCCCAGCAGCCCGGTCCCATTATTTCTGTGCCCACTTCCTTCTGACGCCAGAGCTGTTTTAGACACTTGTCCTCATAGTGCACCTGGCAGCACACCAGCATTTTAGAGCCGCGTCCTTGCAAACCCAGGTCTGAGACAGAATCCCTACTTGCTTTTGTTTAAAAATTATAAAGTATATGCGTGTGTAGTGTGGTTTTCTATTAGTCATTTTGGTGCCAAGTGGTTATACTGTGTGTATAACCAGGAATTGTGTATAGTGCTTCACTCAGAAAAAGAGCTTTTTGCCAAACAAGGGCCAGTAGTGTCGGTGTTTGTGGGGCTCGGCAGCAGGAGGTGCCTGGCCCCAAGCTGTGCAGAGGCAGCCCTTCCAGCTCAGCAGAGGGCGTTCTGCTGTCCTGAGACCAGGGCCTGTATTTTATAGGATGGGCACTTGCTGAACTTGTTTCTTTCTGTGAGCACCGTGACTCGTGCCTCTGGTCCTGTCTGCATGTGTTAATACGTGTCCTTAGAGAAAGTGCTACATAGATTTGCTATCTGGTGAGTTAAAGGGCAATTTGGGATGAGCCAATTGAAGTGTCTTGAGGTGGCCACACGGCATGGGCGAGAGTCTGTCTGTGTGCAGCTTCACCAGTGTTGTTGGCTCTGGGCCTTCTCGAGGTCGTGGGGACCCCGGGGGGTGATTTCAGCCTGACAGCGTCACAGCACACAGCCCTGCTGGGTGCGGGCTGGCGTACCTGGGAACTCCTCGAAGACTGCTTCCCTGCGCTGCCACAATGCTGGGCTGTCTTAACTCTGAATAAAATAGCACGTCTTCCACTGGCCTTAGATTGCGGAGATGAGCAGGTTTCCCCAGCAGCTTTGGGGACGGACGGTGGGATGCCACACACTCATGGCTCATTCCAGTTGGGCCATAGTTTGTGATTGTTCATAATGCATTCATGATCCTTTGCCCAAATGATGGCTCTTCTCAGGATACAGAATTCTCATAGGAGGTTTGCTTATCAAAACAGGGTAAATATACCCATTAAATATACCAGGAGGGTAAGTGTCAGTGACATCTCCGGTGAGTCCGCAAGCGGCACCGTGGGTGATGCTTAAGAACCTGCGAGCAAAGCCTCCACTGTGTGTAGCAATGTCGGTGGGTCTGGGGGTTCTGCTGTTGTTTCTGGGTCTGCAGTCCGTCTGTGGAAGCGGGAGGTGAGAGCCGGAAGGTGTTGACATTGATGCGAGCTGGTTCCTGGTCGAGGCTGCTCTGTGTTGGGAACTCTGTTTAATCAGATTTTTTAGCTTCCTGACCCCTCTGGGGTGCTTTACTTGGTGTCCCTGCAAGCCCTGTAGCCCATTGTCCGTCATTCAGAGAAGCTCCTGGGCCCCTCAGAATGCCTCCTGACCTCCTCAGATCAGGTGTGGGGTGGGAGGGAGGGAGTGCACACAACCCTGTGTGAGGAGGGGGCACCAGGGATCTTCCCTGGTTCAGGGCTCCGTTGGAATCGCAGCGAGGCAGGCTCAGTGCAGAGGGCACACACTTTTCTGTTGAGGGTTAACTTAGGACAGAGAAAACGGGTCCCAGTGCAGACTTGTTGAGCCCATGGCAGTGTCCCAGTCCTCACCAGAGAGCAGAGCGCTGGCTAGAATCTGTGCTTGTTACTCCTGTCTTCCAGTTAAAGGACTGGGAGATGCTCAAAGGTCATTCCCATGGTCAAGCAGGTCAGTCCTATGCCAGTGGCTTTTTGTTACTCAGCAGGGATGGGGAGCGTCTGGGCCTGCCAAGGCATCAGGGGTGAGTTAGTTAAATGTCTGACCAAATATAGCAGCTAATTTTTAAGCTGATAATTTTGTATGGCCCATACATGATGCTATAAACATCCTGATGGCCCTTGGCAGGAAAGGGTTCCCCACCCCTGCATGACTGGAAGCAGCCAGGTCCATGTGGGTGGGAGCAGAGCTGAGTTGGGAGGTGAGCCAACAGCCCCCTTGGTTACTGGCACCAATGGTGCCAACAGTGCAGTTCGGGGGTGCCTGGCTCTGCCCTCACCAGCTCTGTGCGCTGAGCCCCCCGCCCTGGCCTTTGGCGTGATGACTTGCGGGGTCCTGGCAGGGCTGGTGGAGCGGTGTGGACGCTGCAGACATCGGCCTCTGCCTTTCTCCCCGCTGCCTGTGCTGGTGTCAGCGAGTCACTCAGGGGCCAGCCCTGCCAGCCGGAGACTGTTTGCTCTCATCACCCTCACGCAGCAAGTCCATAAACGGTTCAGCCTGAGGTCTCTTGGAAAAAAACAGGCACAGATTCCACTGACTCTGCAGTCTGGACACCCCGTCATTCACCATAAAGTCCATTAGTGCGCTAAACGTGAGATCCCTGTCAGAGTCATGCACCCAAAAGTGACCCTCAGGCTGCACCCCCCACACACACCCCTCAGCACGCCCCCCCCCCCATGAGCCTCGCCACGTTCCTCAGCGCTGGTACTGGACCAAGCTCACCACAGGGCCCAGCGAGGGAGCGTAAAGTAACGTGGAACACGTGGCCCCAGGGTGTGCTGAAAGTGTGTCTGCTTGGTAACGCATTCCCCCGAGGGACCCACGCGGTTCTTTAGCGAGCTGATCTGTAAGCTGACTCCTGGCCCTTTGGCAGGTGGACGACATCCTAGGAGAAGGCAGTGATGACAGCGACAGCGAGAAGAAGAAGCCGGAGGAGCAGGAGGAGGAGCAGGATGGAGCATCTCAGCCCAGGGAGCCCAAGGCCCCAGCAGCCCAGAGGGGGCACACACTCCAGTCGAAGTCACCCAGCGAGAGGAGTGCAGCGGAGGCCCGGGGGCCCAGGTGAGGGTGGGTGAGAGTGAGGGTTGGATGAGGAGGAGGGTGGCCCTAGGGAGGGCTCGGCAGGAACAGGACCCGGGCCCCCACGCTGTCCCCAGGAGTGGCGGCACCTTCTGCTCAGACATGATGCTCACTCCACAACCACAGGCAGGTCTCCACGGGGCTCACAGACCAGATGGCGGGACCATTGTCGGGGGCCGGGGACCCGAAGGTGCTGCGTGGTCCTGAGAGGCCAGGGGCACTTTCCTCTTTCTGAAACAACGCACACACAGCTTCTTTACACGTGAACGTTTCTGAGGATCACATCGTGAAGATGTGGTTTTTATCCATACTCTGGTTTCGGTTGTTGCTCAGGCAGCTATTTGTCCTTCAGGAGGGGCCGTGTCTCTCCCACATGCTGCTGCGTTTACAGTGTGATCCAGGCAGCCCGCCCCTCCGTCTCGGTCTCACCTAGAGGGTGCCTCGCCCCGTGTGTCAACCGCAGCAGCCTCCCCCGAGCCCAGCAGGAGCACCTTGCTATGCAGGTAGCGGGCCTGGGCCCATGGCATGGATGACACGTGGTGACACTTCCTGTTTTTCATGGCGCCCCCACCGTCCCACCAGCTCACCCAGAACGGAATTTGATTCTGCGGGCCTTTTATCGGCTGAGTCCCTTCACGCCCTTCAGGTCTGACCCCTAAGCTGTGTGTGCCCAGGTGAGTGACAGCCACAGCCAGGCAGGAATTCCAGCCACAGGTGGGGGCAGATTGTCCCTGTTCCAGCTTCAGCAGTTTCTCGAGCACACGCACACCTCCCTGGAGGTGGCCACTCTGAGGCCGAGCTGCCCAGCTGACGTGATAAATCTGTGCTGGGTGACGACGAGCCACACACAGTCACTCTGCTCGCTGCGTCTCCATTTCTGCGAGCAGCCCCTGCGTTTCTGGGGAAGGGGCATGAGGACGGGGCCTTGCCGAGTGGTGTCCCAATGTGAGGTGTCATCGATCTGTGGCATGTGCTCCGGTTAGGTGTTTTTAACCTGGCGCTGTCTTCTCTCTCAGAGGAACAAAGTGTTTTCTCAAAGACATGGAGAGGACTGGCGCGGCCTGCAGGCCCGGTCCTTTGGGGCGGAAATGGACATGGGCGCTCCAACTGGGCCGAGTGCCGCTGAGCTGAGCACACTGTTTCATTTGAAATTCAGGAAAAAGTGCTATTGGGGGTTTTGTTTGCCTGTGGATTGTTTCGGTTCATGACGACTTCCCCGTGCGATGGCAGGGCCCGTGCTGATACCACACGTGCGGTTGGCAGGACATCGTGCCAATCCCGCGGGCCAAGCTGTTCTGAGGAATCTGAATGCCACTGAGCTTGACAGTGTGTTTTCTCGGAAGTAGAAAGGGGTGTGTTTTTGCTTCTCTGCCAAGAACTGACTCGTTCCTCCTTCAGATCGACAGCCACCACATGCCTGTTCTGTGCGCGCGGCAGCCGGGCTTCGGCTCCCGGAGGTCAGTCCCTGAGATAAGCCGGTGCACTTGGAAAGCATTTGCCCAAACCAGAGCTTTTTCAGTGGGCGCTGCACTGGCCTTTGCCTGGAGGCGTGGCTTCAGGGTGACCTGAAGGTCACGTAAGACTTCTTCCGATTCTTTGTAGAGTCGGCGGCTGAGTGAAGACGTCGGGTCAGAAGGGTAGGAAGGAGCAGTTTCCATCGTTACCTGTGGACAGTGGTCACAGCCGTTTCCCTCACCAAAGACTGTTCTCCGAGTGCCAGGAAATGTCAGTCTTGGCGCCGTGGCCGTCCCATCCGGTCGGTGGCGCACAAGGAAAACTGCCCCATCTTCAGGGGCTGAATTCTGGCGCGCGTCCAGCCCACCCACCTCCGTTGAGCACCGACCCCATGTTTCCATGTGGACACAGGTGTGGAAGGTGTTCCAGGTGGTGGATTGGCCTGGAAGGTTCACTTTAATACACTGGGGGTTTGTCATCTCTAAATGGAGGAAACACAGCACTTCCTCAGTGAAGTTCTCACTCTCTCCCCCACTGGAGCCGTGGTTACATACCGTCGTGCCTGCTCCTGCCCTGCCCTGCCGTCTTCGGTGCACCCCTGGGCATTCATCACATCTGTGGACACAGTTGCACTGTGTCCAGTCTCTTCTGCCACAAGCAGTGCTGTGGGGCCTGCCCCATGCACTTGAGCGCATCACTCGGTGGATTTCTGAAAGCAGAATTGCCGGTCGAAAGGTGTTTGCGCTTTTAACCTGTAAGCTGCTGACAGTTGTCCTCTGTGGAAGTTGGTGCCAGTCAAACTCCCCTCAAAACAAGTGACTGTGCTCATTGTCCACACCTGCTCAGCACGACAGATAAAAAGGGGTGTCGTTTTTCTGCCTTTGTCTTTCTAAGGGCTGTGCCCATGCCCGAGACTGAGCCCAGAGAGCCCACACTTTGGGGACAGCAACTTCACCAAAACAGTCCAGCCAGTCACTGAACAGCAACAGTAACCAGCCTGTGGGGAGCGGAGACCAAGACTCAGGGCTGCTACAACATGGGAACTAAAATGTCCACTTTCTAGCAAAAAACATTACGTAGAGACAGCAGAGTCTGACCTACACAGGAAGACAACCACAGGCAGGCAGGTGTCGGAGGTCACAGACCACAGCTTCAGACAGAATGAATTACTGACAAGGCCTCATCTCGCAGACGCTGTCAGACAGGAGCACTGCAAATGAAAAGTGTAACACCGAAATGGAAATCCACCAGAGGGCCCCAGCGTTGATTTGAACCTGCAGAAGGATTAGCAGACTTGGAGATGGATCGATGGAGATCATGTGATCAAAAGGCACAGACTCAGGTGTGGGCACATGGAATCGACCAGGATCCAAAATCCACAGAAGCAAACACGCTGCCCAGTGCCACCTTGGGAGCAGAGCCTGCCCATCAGATTCAGGTGGTCCTTCCTCTGCCCCAGACGTGGCCTCCCAGAGACGGGAGACAGACCACATGGCCATGCGTCACACTATAGAGTCACCTCATGGGTCCCATGTCCCCACCACAGGTGGGTGGGCCAGGACCTCGAACGAGATCTGTGATGGAGACAGATGCCTGGATCCTCATCCACCCAGGACATGTTCTTTACTCTGCAGGTGCAAAAGCCTTCTGACCTTGCCAGTAGTGTTTCTTCTGTTTCGTAAATAAATTACAAGGTTTTCCTAACATCAGCAGTTGTGGTTTCAGACTGTGGAGCTGCTGCTGTGTGTGTGTTTGCTTACACTGCACATGTATGCTGCATATAGTTATGTGTTGCGTGTGATTGAAACATGTTACATTGTTGTTACATGCATGCTGTTCTTGCACATATGCTGTGTTTGCCTAGCTCTGTACCGTACCTGTCACAGGTAATCACCATCTGAGCAGTCTCTTCAGGAGACCTTGCGGTCCTGTGTCGGGGTAAAGTCAGGACAAGGTGGGTTCCTCGGGTACCGTTTTCAAGCTATGGCTGAATGGCTGTCTCGGTGCAGTGGGACCTCTGGGCATGCAAGGCCTCAGAGGGAGAGCCATGCGCTCTTCACGTCTCACCGCATCCTCTTCAAGTCTGCAGGTTCGTCAGGGAGCTGAGTGGTCCGCAGGGCCATAACAAGGGTGATAGCGCCCTTGCCGGTGTTTCTAATTGGTTGGCGAGTATGGGAGGCAACCAGTCTCTCCCTCCCACCCTCCTTCCCTTCTCTCTAAAGATCAATGGAAAAAATACCCTCGGGTGAAGATTAGCAAAAAATGAAAATTTAAAAAATGAAATGTGATGACGTTGGCTGGCTATGGAATGTGCCGGTGTGTTTGCAGTTTATTGTTTATCCAAGTAGTTTTGACAGCTACCTGAGGAAACAGTGGGCTGCTAGGGCGCCACCTGGGATGGCCTGTCTATGAGTCTGTAAGACTCGCCCATCTTCCCTGGGGCCTGATGGCCTGCCGTGTGTGTGGCTCTTTGTATAATCAGAGCCAACACCGTCCGGAGCCCTGTGGAGAGCAGTTTGTCCCGGCTCTTAGGTGGAAGGTAGTCCAGGGCCCCATGGCCGTGCATAGCTCCTGCCATGTGTTAGGAAGAGAGGTGGCAGCTCCAAGGTGGGCTGGACAAGCACATCACTTGTCCTGGCCCAGCACCTGGCCTGCCTGCCTACCATCCACCCGTCTGCAACTGGACCACTCCGTGTGCGCCGACCGAGGCCTGAAGCCACCCAGAGTGATGGAGGCCCCGCCCACGCCTGAGCTCCTTCCGGGGCCGGTGCTGGCCTGTCCTGAGTCCTGTTCCAGCCGGTTTGCTCCACAGCAGCCAAGGCCTTGGAGCTGACAGGGAGCGCGGGCCTCTCACTCCTCTGCCGCTTTTCTTGACGTCTTTATGTTCTCAGGCGTTGAGCATGTTCACTGTTCGCTGGCAGTGGGTCTTTGTTGTAGTTGTTTCTTCTGTTGTCCAGCCACATCGCGGTCCTTTGAAATGCGCATGAAGGAAGTAGAGAGGGCCTGTGTTGTGGTCCTGGGTCGGTGCCCCTGCCTGTGTCCTCCACCTCAGAACTGTGGTTTGCTCCCATTCTGAGACTGGAAGCCCCTTGGCATTTGCAAGCCCCTGGCAGACGGGCGGGTGCGGTGTGGGAGCCTCTCACAGCAAGTGCTTCTCTTTCAGGGGCCACAAGAGGAAGCTGAACGACGACGACGCGGCCAGCGAGTCCAGCAGGGAGTCCAGCTGCGAGGACGAGGGGAGCAGCTCAGAGGCGGACGAGATGGCCGCGGCGCTGGAGGCGGAGCTCGACCTCATGTGACCTGCACGCTCCCCAGGGTGGACGCACACGTCACCTCCCTCCTGTGGCACTTCGACGTCCTGTGCTGGCCCTCACGTGGGGTTTCCTTCTCTCCAGGAAGACGTGTCTATTCGCAAAGCTCCACATACAGAAACATTATTTTGCAGAAATGGGTGTTTTGAGAAGTTTTACTACCAGAAAGTCTACTTTTTTTGTGACCGTGACAGGAAGCATGGGCCATGCCAAAGATCTTGTGGAGCTTGGCCGCACAGGACTGTGGTTCCTGCCGTGTATAGGGGCCTGCAGGGCGTCTTCCTTTAAATTCCACGGCATACCATTCAGGGCGAAGGCGGGCTCTGACGAGACAGACGTGGCAAGAACCCGGCGTCCTGTGCTTTTCACACTGAAGTTACCAGCTGTGCAGGGGTTTCTGAGGCTGTGTTCCCGTGTGGACAGGCCTGGGCTGCCTCTGCGACCCTCAGGGCTCATTTCTGAGCGACACCGGGTCCCTGAAACTTGTGTCCCTATGTTTCCGGGACCAGGTTCCAGCACAGTCCGGCGTCCACTCCTGCTCCTCAGATCTGATGTAAAGTTTTGTATATTTCATATCTGACCCACCAAACAGATGTCTCCTCCATTTAATAAAAGCCCTTTTTGTAAGCTCTCTGTCTGGTGTGTTGTGGCTGCAAGTGGGCTATCCTCCGTACCTCAGGGGGCGCCCCGCCACCCCAAGCCTGTCCCTGTCCCTGTCCCTGTCCCAGCTTGTAGAGCAGGGGACTCGGTGTGCCGGGAGGTCCCAGCCCTGGGAGTTTGTTGTCGGGCAGCCATGGCTGAGGGTCTCCGTTATGGGGACATTTTGTGCAGCAAAGCACGAAGAATGTAGAAGATCACTGGTTTCTGATTATTTGGTTTGTGAAACTAGATGTGAGAACCTATGGAAGCAGAGGGCAGCACTGCAGCCCTCGCTGGCAAGTTGTGGAATGGGGTTTGTTGTGCACATGTGGCAGCCAGACATCGGGGTCATAGGGTGGCCTGTCCTCAAATCCCATTGTCCCCAGACCTCTGGGCTGACCTGGTCAGCACGACCGGCGGGTTCTGGGGTGAACCTTCTCGCCTTCTTTGAGGCAGCCCCTTGATGTCCTCTGAGATCCCTGCCAGACGCTGGCTACAGTGGAGGATACCAGAGACCAGGAGTGTGTGGCCTGTGATGCGCCTGCCTCGTGAGGCGGCAGGGCGGTTGCACGAGGGACCGTGACCAGGCTGCTCTCCCACGAGCCTGTGAGGCTCCTTCCCCAGGCTGCTCAGGCTGTTGGATTTGTGAGCATCGTGCCCCGGACACCAAGCAGAACTCTCCCCTCCACAGGTGTGACTGGGACTTCCAGACCGTCGTCATCCAGAGAAGCCCTCCACTTTGCACGAAGGTCTTTTCCTTTCTTCCACACTTGGGGGAGGACGTGGCAGGCCTGGTGGCTCCAGTGCCATTATTTGAGGCCAAGTGTGGGTCTCACTGTGAGAATTTCCAGGCAGCTGGCCCAACACCAGGGTGTCCATGTCCCTGTTCTGGGCGTGTCTCTGGAGAAGCCCCTGTTCCTGAGGGGCTCAGGCAAACGGCTGCAGTGCTGCCTGTGCTCCTGCCTCTAATGCAGGCCGGGAGCCGGGAAGGAGCCCGAGCAGGAGAGCAGGTGCCAGCGCTTTGGGGTGGGGCAGCCAGTCCTCGGAGCGTCTTATGTTCTCAGTTTTGTGACCTGTTGATATGACTGGGTGGAGCTGTTTCACCCCGGGCAGGACACTGTCTGCTGTCCTGCGTCTCAGCCGCAGAGACAAACAGCACCCCGGACGGGGCTCCAGACCCTCTGGGACACACCAGCGGAGAGGAGGCGGGAATAAGCCTTTCCCACTTCTGCACATGCACACACATTCGCACACATGTACACATGCACACACACCCAGGGGGCAACTGGGGCTCAGGCTGTCGCTGCAGCCAGAGCATGGGAGCCTCCATGGGAGCCTGGTGAGTTTCAGCCGCCTCAGCAGACGGACGGGAAGCGCTCACCCTCTGGAGCCCTGCCCCCAGCAAGCCTGGGGCAGACAGGAGCTTAGGCCACTGGAAGGTGGGGGCTGTGGCTCCTGCCACCTTAGACCAGACACTGGGGCCTCAGGGAGCCCCACCCTGGCGATCACCCCACATGCCCGGTCAACCTTGCGGAGAGGGCTGTGAGCACCCACCAGGTGGAGGACCAGATCGAGGTGAGTGGGGGCAGCTGCCTCTCCCTCTCTCTGTGGATGGTCTCAATCCCAGACGAGGCAGCCGCCCTGTGAGGACCAAGCGTCCAGTTCACCACACGTCCACTGAGCGCTGAGCCAGGCGCTGGGTCCCTGGAAGACGTACCCCACCGGGGTGCACAGGGCAGGGAGAGACCACGGAGGCCGGTCCTGCCCAGCTGCATGTCTGGGAGCGACAGCTGCTGCCCGGTTCACAGCCGTGAACGTTATTGCTGAGGAGCTGCCTCCCCTCAGGGGTGGGGATAGTATGTGGCCTCCTGGTGGCAGCCAGATGTGCAGATGGCCTGAGGCGCTGAACCTCCCACTGACCTAGCTTTCTGGGGCTCTGCCCAGCTGAGCCTGGCCCTGTGGGAAGACAGGGGGAAGCAGGGCGCCCAGCAGGTTCCTGGGGGAGGGAGGCACACAGGCCGGAGGGAGGGCGGGTGGACAGGCAGGTGGACAGATGGGCGGCCGCAGGTGAGGCCCCCACCATCAGCAGGGGCTGACTTGTCACATCTGCTGACCTTTGTGGAGTGAACCTCGACCTGGGCCAGTTTCAGACCGACACAGTGACCTCACCAGCAACGAGAACAAGAACATGAGGACGTGGGAGTTGAGGAGCTTTGTTCTGTAATGTGCTTCTGTCACGGTGAGTTCATGGAAGTTCACCTTTAATAATGGCTGTTTAACAGCTGCCTTGCTCTCTCGGCCCAGAAGCAGCCCGGACGCCCCGCCGCCCCCACCTGCACTGGCCCCCAGCAATCGCTAGGTGAGCCAACGTTAACGTTGGCGCGATGCTCGCTTGCTCAGCCGGTCCCTTTATAGCCTCTTAAGAGCCTCTGTTCTTTTCATAGAATCCAATAAATGCAGAGCAGGAGAGACAGACATGGGGGGCAGCTTCTGGAACTTTTTCTAGGATGGATCCCAGGCATCTTGTAAAGGGGGTGGGGTGGGGGCGGGCCCTGAGTCCGAGTTTCCAACAGGTTTAGGCAGCACAGCCCCGTCCACCTCCCTTCATTTGAGGTGAGGGACTCGCTGCCCAGAGAGGCCTCAGAACTCCCCCAAATCATGTCACTCGTTGGTTAGACTCCACCATTGACCCACCCTCCTGCCACCTGCTCTGTCAACTGGCCTCTCTTCTCACTGAACATTACAGACTCAGCTATTTCAGTGCACTCGCCTACATGCACACACTCACCTACACACACCTATGTGTGCACACTTGCACTCACCTACACACACCTTCACCTGGGAGCACATGCACCCACATATGCACACATGTATGCACACACATGCTCACACACAGTCACCTATACACACTATGGCCACACACACACATGCACACAAGCACCTACACAGCAAACCATGAGACTGGTGAGAAGTCCCTGTTAAGAGAATTGCCCCAGAATATTCAGCTGTGTAATGACAACACGAAACCTGCTGCCCGCAGCTCCAAACCAGCAACACTCGTGTTTCTCTGGGCTGCGTCCTCGGTGCAGGGTCTGCACCGCTGCTCCAGGTTCAGGCCGGCTGTGATCAGGCCCGAATCTGGGAGCCGTGGTGGAATCATTTCTCACAGCACCGCCCCAGGCAGCTCCCAACCTGTGATTTGTCAAATTTGCTAACAACCCTGGTTTCAGAACTGAGCAAACAGCCACCCGGGTGAACAGGACACAGCACCACACGGCACAGGTAAGCAAGGCTCATTTGCAGAGAAAGCCATGCTGCTGGGCTGATGGTCCAGCTACATCCAACTGACCGTCCAGGCTCAGGACCCTCCCCTGTGAGTCTCCTTGGTGGGTGCCCCCCACCCTCCACCCCCAGTGCAGTCCCCATGTGTCCAAGCAAACTCTTCACTGAAGCAGACACCTGCCTTTTCTGGGCACAGCAGTGGCTCCTTTGGTCATGCAGGTCCCCGCAGAGATGAGGTTTGCCCCACCCATGGGGAGACGCGAACAGAATTGGTCACCTGCAATCTCACTTTCAGCAATTTTAGCTGAAGATGTTTTATCCTGGAGGGAAATAATAGGGGTCTCTGGGAGCATACAGGACGACCCCATCAAGTTCTGTCTCAATGGGGGAGTGGACCCGGGGCACATGTGCTGTGGTGATGACAATAACAACACCAGGAAGCTTTCAGACCTCACCCCAGTTGTATCTGAGCAGAGTGCAGGACACAGATTCGCACAAGGGATTCTGCCCTCCGTCAGTGTTGCATAACAACATCGGTTTCTGCGAGACCTGCTGTCACTCTGGAACCAGCAGGCTGTTGCATTTCCTTCTAAAATCTAAATCTTCAGTTTTATAACTTGGCCAGAGTCCAATTTAACAAACAAGAAAAATTTAAATCTAGCAGCATTTGCTACTTTTTTTTCTCAGTAGCAACTGTGTCTCTAATTGCTCTGCCGTCCCAGTGCCCCGAGAGTGTGTCTGAGGGAAGTTGGGGCTTTCCGTCACCCCGCTGACCTGCTTAAAAAGCCGTGGGTGTCTTTCTATTCCTGGTTCTGGTAACTGTGTTTCGTGGGAGTTGAGAAGGGGAGTTTTCCACTCAATCCACAGCAGCTCTAGGAAAACAAGCGAGAGGGACACCATTCAAATGCAGGCCTCTGCCGTGTTGCATTTGCTCCCAGAACTGCGTACTAACCAGGGTACGGGGTAACAAGGGCCTGGTCCCTACAAGCTGT